TTCAGATTAAACTACAAAGCTACAGTCATCAAAACAGTATGGTACTGGCACAAAAAAGAAATATACATCAATGGAACAGGATTGAAAACTCAGAAATAAAACCAAGCACCTATGACCAATTAATCTATGACAAAGGCGGCAAGACTATACCATGGAAAAAAAAGACAGTCTCTTCAATAAATGTCTGGGAAAACTGGACAGCTACATGTAAAAACATGAAATTAGAACATTCTTTAATGCCATACAGGAAAATAAACTCAATATGGATTTAAGACCTAAATTTAAGACCAGACACTATAAAACTCTTAGAGGAAAACGCAGGCAGAACACTCTCTGACATAAATTGCAGCAATATCTTTTTTGACACGTCTCCTAGAGTAATGGAAATAAAAACAAAAATAAACAAATGGGACCTAATGAAACTCAAAAGCTTTTGCACAGCAAAGGAAACCATAAACAAAATGAAAAGACAATCCACAGAATGGGTGAAAATATTTGCAAACAATGCAACTGACAAGGGATTAATCTCCAAAATTTACAAACAGCTCATGCGGCTCAATATCAAAAAAACAAACAACTCAATCAAAAAATGGGCAGAAGATCTAAACAGACATTTCTCCAGAGAAGACATACAGATGGCCAAGAGGCACATAAAAAGATGCTCAACACTGCTAATTAGTAGAGAAATGCAAATCAAAACTATAATGAAATATCACCTCACGCTAGTCAGAATGGCCATCATCACAGAACCTACAGACAATAAATGCCAGAGAGAGTGTGGAGAAGAGGGAACCTTCCTACACTGTTGTGGGAATGTCAATTGGTACAGCCACTATGGAGAACAGTATGGAGGTTCCTTAAAAAACTAAAAATAGAGCTACCATATGATCTAGCAATCCCACCCCTGGGCATATATCCGGAGAAAAACATGGTTCGAAAGGATACATGCACCACAATGTTCACTGCAGCGCTGTTTACCATAGCCAAGACATGGAAGCAACCTAAATGTCCATCAACAGATGAATGGATAAAGAAGATGTGGTACATATATACAATGGAATATTACTCAGTCTTTAAAAAGAATGAAATAATGACATTTGCAGCAACATGGATGGACCTAGAGATAATCACACTAAGTGAAGTAAGTCAGAGAAAGACAAATATCATAAGATATCACTTATGTGTGGAATCTAAAAAAAAAAAAAAAAAAAGATACAAATGAACCTACTCACAAAACAGAAACAGACTCACAGACTTAGAGAAGGAGCTTATGGTTACCAGAGGGGAGGAACAGATTGGAAATTGGGGATTGACATGTACACACTACTATATTTACAACAGGTAACCAACAAGGACCTACTGTATAGCACAGGGAACTGTGCGTGATACTCTATAATAACCTAAATGGGAAAAGAATCTGAAAAAGAATAGACACATGTATATGTATAACTGAATCACTTTGCTGTATACCCGAAACTAACACAACATTGTTGATCAACTATACTCCAATATAAAATTAAAATAAAAAAGAAAGAAAAATACAGTGGATCCATTATCAAAGGACTATTGTTCAGAAAGCATGTTCACTTGTGTTTACAAAAATTATTACGGAATACTATTAATTTTTATTGGTACACAAATAATTTTTACTAAATACAAGCTTTATAAGACAGAGGTTTATCCTTTTTTGACATATTTTTCCACCCACTAAATATCATTTCTTTTCTTTTCATTTCAATGTAGATTTTCATGCCAAATAAATTAATCATATTTATATCTTCCCTGAAACCAGTCGTGGCACCATTTGTATTTCCTTATTGGACAACCTTAAGATCAAAGGATCAAAAACTGAAGATCCCAGTGCCCCCAGGGGTTCAACCCTCTATTCCACTAAAGGCATAGAAGACTTACTTTGTAGAATTTAAGGACTGTAACCTACAGACCACATGGTATTACATGTTATTTTTTCTTAAAGTAGCAGCAACACTGCAATCACAACAACGTACTCAGAGGTAACATGTCAGGTTTAAAGTCACTGGGAACCTAACTGGAGATGGGTAGTGGTGACAGGCCCTCTGTCCTCTGCCCCATTTACTGGGAGCCTCCACCGTTGCTGACAGTGACCACCCTAAGTCACATCTCCCTCCAGGGCTGAGCTCTTGTGCAGGGACACCTGAGGCTCCAGGTCTTTGTCAAAGACCTAAACTCCTACAACTTGTCAAAACTGTTGTCAAACAAGTTGTCAAAACTCCTAAAACTCCTAGTCTAATTCAGAAAGTAGAAAACCAACTTATGTAGAAAACACAAACCACAAGACACCTTTCAGAATGAGAGTTTATAAACCCCAGTCTTGGCACCTAGTGTAGCCTTGAGCTGTGCTGAATATATCACCATTGTTAAGTGTCAATCTACAAAAATGCTCAGAAAACTTGTCAAATTTTTAATAGTGCTCTAAACTAGTGCAAAAAGTAAGTTTAATGCTAGATTCATCCTTTTACATACACCAATGAAACAAGAGTATTTAACAAGAGTTTTTTAAGCTCTTCAGTCACAGATTTCATTATATCAAAAATTAATGAATGAGATCAATTTTATTCTTTTTCCTCCAACATTTTCCTTCAAATTTACTATCATTCTTGTTGTTTTTCTAAAGAAAAAAAATAATAAAACAGGCCTTAGTTTAGCTAGGAGACGATTAAGGTTAGCAGACAAGGACCTCCTTGCATCTTTTCCCTGTTTTTGTAGAAAACAGATTATAAAATAAACAAAAAATCCATCTTCAAAGAAATCAGCAGTTGAGGTTATAAGTGCAAAAGTTAGCCATATTCCTAATTCTCGGTGATAATAAAGTAAGGTGAGCTCCCCGGGGACTTAAAAGGCAATGCCTGGCAATGCTTGGGTGAACTAAGGGGAACTGCCCATGCAACAGTACCTTTTAAACCCTCTGTAGTCCTAACTGGACAGTGAGGCAGAGGTACTCACAAGGACTCTCTAAGGAGATGTGTGACTGGCTCTGAACGACAGGGACAACAACTCTGCCAGAGCCTGCAGAGAAAGATGCTGCTACTGCTTTAAAAACACATGCTGAAATGGCACCAGCCATCCCACTACTCAGAGATCTAAAGGACCTGGATTGTTTGCCACCAACAGAATTGTTTACCTGAAAAATAAACTTACTTCTCAAAGCAATGACTCGGGGGGAGGGAGGAGTAGGGGGGAGTCAAAAACAGGAGACTTGAAACACTGAGGACCACTGACTCCCCACCTTTGAGATGAAGGATGGCAAACCTCATTTCACAGATATTTTAAGTAGCTGTAAAGCCCCAGTGGCTCCAATTCTAAAGCCTGTGTTTAGATCAGGTTTGAAAAGGGCTGCACCACTTTGCAATAACTAGGCACCGCGTCTGATGCCAATCGGTGCTTTGTGTTTGGAATGGGCGACCACATACGAGAAAACAAGACCACCTACAGCAGACGATACGTGCCACGACCAATCTCCTTGGCACCCAGGGCTGTGTGCAGGCAAAATGCTTTCATTAAAAAGAAAATAACCTCAAGATTATTGCCAAAATCTTGAGTAGTATCACATAGTTAGTTTTCCATTTTAAATTCTTACAGAGATATGTAATCATGTCTTTTCAGAAAGTTTAAAACCTGACTTCTAAAAAAAAAACAAACCCACCTGAGCTACTGAAATGCCCTACTCTCTCGGGACCCTTGTAATAGCTTCAAGGATGGACTTAGGTATAGCCCATGGTTATGCCTATTGAAAATTAGAAAATCTAGTTATTCAACTGGAAACTACAGTTGTTTTAAAGGACGAGTACTTACCGGCAAGAGCCATTTCTGCAACTCCTAATATTCTTCTGGATTATTATTGTGTGCCCTTTTTATTTAGGACATTAAAGGCTCCCTTTTTCCATCCTGAATGCTCCTAAAGTTACAGGACAAGGGGATCTTACCTGGCTGTCTCTGACAGGTCAGTGATCAAACAGAAAGTCAGGCTGTAGCCAAATTCCGTCCATCTCTTAAGAATTACCAGGAGCTAGGACTCTGTAGCTCCTGCTACGTTCAGGGAACCCCATTCAATGTTAGGACAATAAGCCCTCTCCAGACAAAGGTTTAATATTCTCGGGTGTTTTCCCAACTTCTAAACTCAAGGACTTCTCAAGAAAAGATCATTTTATGAACACCATTTCCTGCACAGAACAAGTGAATTAAAAAAAAAAAAAGTGACCTCATCTTTTCTACAAGAAACACAGGTGTAGATGGAAAATATACCAATAGTTATTGCCCTAGTGATCAAAGACCATTTATTTAACCAACCTTATCTTTAAATAGCACCAGTCTTTGTTTAAGAGTCTAACTTACGTAAGGTATTTACATTCACGTGAACAAACCTGTACATGAAATAAAACAAGACATGATGTTTTGCTGAGCTCAAGAACAAGATGCAGATTGTTCATCCATATAAAGAAATACTCGTTCTAAGCATTTTTGACAATGCGGAGCGCACTCAGCCAGTCACCTCCCACATCCTTCTCCTGGAAGCACTGGGAAACTTGAAGAGTTGCTGGCATTTGTGAAGTAAAGCAAAGCAGAGAGCTATGGTTGCTGACTTCAAACTACAAATTTCAGTGCCTGACCCAGCAGAGGGTGCCATGAGGAAAGAATGTATGAAAAATAAACTCTAGAATAGGTTAGCAAAGATCTGTTCAAAGGTCAAACACTTCTGCCACAAATGGCTTCTCCTGCAGAACCAACTGCTAGCAATGGCGAATTTAACAGGCATGACTTAACAGGCAGTAAGACCAGAGACGTTTACCCTTCCACCTCAGGAGTGGTCCGCCTGTCTAGGAGAAGCCGAGGTGCCCTAGTAGACTCTGCCCTTGAACAGGACCTGTGGTGAACAGAAGCCTTAGTCCACACTTGTGTAGCACGGTCGTGATATGTATGTCAAACAAGTCTTTTCAATGTAGATATCCGCAAAAGGTACTTACACAGCCTCCAGCAAGAATTTCTGCTGCGAGTGGGACTGAGCCATCTTTGCGCGTAAATTTATCCCTCACAAAATCATTCACCTGGAAGAAAAATATTTATAGAAGCTGATGAAAAATATAGAGAAAGCCATTAAACACATACAAATATACAACTGTAAATAAATGTTACTTTTCTCTGTCACTGTATTGGAGTAATCATAAACTGAATAAATGAAGTATCTTAAGAGTTTGCTCTTAATAGCATATACATAGTTATTGAAAGGTAAAATATATAAATACGTATTCCTGATGATTCACAGAGAAAACAATTAAGAGAGGTGGCTTACAAGCTTAATTCAAATATGTCCTGCCATTACAATAGCATAAAAAGAGAGACATATTAACAACAGAGACAAAATTAAAACATACATTTTATAACTTAAAAACTGTTTTATAGGATTTGATTAAAAAATCACTTTCAAGTCTTCCAACAAGATTTAATCTAAAACAGCATCATCGAGACAAATTTGGCTGAGCGGATCTTTTAGCTTAGTAGAAATTCAGTATTTAAAAAACTTCTCAAGGATTCTCAGAGAATATCAAAAGCATTAGTTAATTAATTAAGTATAACATTCTCAAAATGGTATGTACTACAAGCAATTTTAAGGATCAATCAAAAGATTAGCTGTCCCAAGGTCACATAATAAGATGGTAGAAGAAGAATTTCAGCACCAATGCTACACAGTCCAATCCAAAAGTAAAGTTTAACTTTCTGGGACTTTATGACCTTGGTGATGAAAATGCAATTATTTATCCATTGCACAAATACATACTGAATACTTACCACCTGTCAGACAGGAGTCAGGCACTGAAGAACCAATTGATGGAGGATCAACTTAAACTAGAACTCAGACCCCTAAACATGTCACTTCGGCAAATGTGTACGGAATACACCCCGAACACAAATTCTGTAAATAGCATGGGTACTTGAACAATATGTTTTGGAGTCAGAAAAATCTGGTTGTGAATTCTAGTCTTCCTACTAATGACCTGTGCAAACACACGTGAATACTTAATCCCCGTGGGCCTCACTTTCCTGACTTGTAAACTGTGGGTCACACCTTGCTTGAGATTAAAACAGTATCAGATAATACATGGAAAGCACCTAATATGGTAGGTACTGAAAGAAATTTAGCTGCTGTTGCTGCCACTACTATAGTGATGATGACGATGATGATGGTGGTGGCAACCACCCAAAACCTTGCTCAAGTATATTATCACATTTTCAGATGTTCACTGTTAAATGGCGAATAATAAAAAGCTATGTGTGGTGAGCATCTCTATGTTCAAATCAGTTAGCGCCTCTGAGGAAACACAGACCTGCTGTTTCACATAAGAATCTCTGCTAGATTCCTGAGTGTGTGCAAACTCCCTTCATCTGAAGCATCAAATCAAAAGACTTACTGTAAGTTTTATGGCCTTCTCTGGGGCAACTCCCAATAACTGTGGCAACAGACCTGAAAAACAACAAGAAGTAGAAGCATATTAAATAAATTAACATTAACTAAACACATCAACAGCTCTAAAGAGGGGGATCACAATGTCAAAACTGGGGCAATCTTTGTTGCCGCTTTCTGTTCTTACCTTGAACGAGAATACTTGAAATGGAATGTTTAGGTACTAATGTCTAAGAGCTACATCAGGCCTGAGTAAATTCCCCCTCACGTTCTGGATCGTTTGCACATTGGGTAAATCAACAGTATTAGTGATACAGGAAATCTCATTATTCCACAGATTTGCTTTTTTCCCTCCCACCTCTTAAATCAGTGGACTTTAGTGAAAATACTCTTTTTCTCTAACGCCTTTCTCAGCTCCTCCCCCCCCAACACACTGACCACGGTTCAGCCATTCATACATTTAGCAACTATGACTCTGTGACAAGCTCAAGACAAACGAGGCTCCCTCTGACTGGTCTCAGATAGAAGGAAGGGAGAGGCCTTGCTGAAAAAGTTGGGGAAACATGCATTGCATTTCAGGAAGGGCAACAGACAGGGCAAAAACAGCAGAGTGGGAACAAGCCTGGTGTGCTCAAAAATGAGGGAGAGTTTCAGTACATCACCTCGCAGGAGGCAGGCACAGGGAGAGGCACAGGTGGGGCCTGATGCCACGCTGCGGACCAGGACCCCGAAGCCCAATATACTCCAAGTTGGGTAAGAAGGGTTTCCATTAGGAGGACAGTGATGTGCTACTTCATATTTTTAAAAGACCACTCTGGATGTGGCACAGAAAACAGGGTATAGTGATGGGTGTGTGTGTATGTGTGTGTGTGTGTGTGTGTGTGTGCATGTGGGGTGTGTGTGTGTGGGGGGGGGTGTAACTGGCTCTGACTGCTAGAGCTCAGTTTTTAGCACTAACACCTGGTACAGATGAAGACAGCCGAGCTCAGTTTTGGACACGATTGGTGGAATGGAAATTAAGAATCAGGGCACAGGAGGAGGTGTGGTCTTTGACAGGAAAGGGCCACTTCTAGGAAAGGCAGTTATGACAGTAGTGGACCTACATATTTGAACTAAAAAAAAAAAGTTACCTTTTTCATCTGTTCTTTCTAAGAAAATCAAATCAAAGACAGATGCCTTTCCTTGGAAACACTCAGTAAGCGAACCCCAAGGATCAGAATATACTGTTGCCGTGTCATGCTGCTGTCCTTGGGAGGGTCTTCATGGTGTTATCCGTCACCAGTAAGTACACTTTCCTAATTCGCTATATTAAAAGGTCCACCCAAAAAAAAAAAAAAAAAAGGTCCACCCTCAGCCTCTTTGGAGAGACTAGCTCTGCCCACATCATCTTCTTTTTTTTTTTTGCGGTACACAGGCCTCTCACTGTTGTGGCCTCTCCCGTTGCGGAGCACAGGCTCCGGACGCGCAGGCTCAGCGGCCATGGTTCACGGGCCCAGCCGCTCCGTGGCATGTGGGATCTTCCCGGACGGGGGCACGAACCCGTGTCCCCTGCATCGGCGGACTCTCAACCACTGCACCACCAGGGAAGCCCCACATCATCTTCTTAAAGAAACAGCCTACAGCCAAAAGTCACTAGCTCGAGGGATGTGTGCATCCAGCTTGCAGATGTGTTTTGCTGAGTAGTATAGGTTTTAAACATAATTTGAGATTATATAGATAGATAGATAGATAGATGGCTGAATGGATGACTAGATTGATCAACTGATTGATTAATGGATCTGACAGCTCTGGGCCTCCTTCTGACATCACAGCAATCTATCTCCAGTTGGGCGAGGCTCTGCCCTCTATACAAGACCCAAGCATCAATTCAGCAAGGTCCCCGCCACGCCCTAATGCCAGCATGGCAATAAGGACAAGTGCCAATTATCGTTCATCATTTCTTGCTCTGTTGATATCCTCACAATAGAGAAATATCTCTGGGCTTATGGCTTTACAAAAAGGGAGAAACTAAATAGACCAAGACAGCTTCATGTTTTAGGCAGAATTGGAGAAAGCTCATTTCATTGTAAAACTAAATGATAGGGATGCTGATTCTAATCAAAATTTCCTCTAAAAACAGCCAACATATTTTTTATTATGTGTCAGGCACCATTTAAAGCACTTTACTAACTCATTTAATCCTTAAAACCACCCTGTAGAGTGGAAACTGAGGCATACAGAGATTAAGTAATTTGTTCTCGGTTACCCAGATGATAAATAGTGAGACTGGGATTCAAACTTAAGCCATCTTCCTCAAGAGTCTATGCCTTTAGACAACACCCAACTCTGTCCTCTGCCTGACAGGCAAATGTGTATTTGCCTTTCACAACCAGCCTCATTTGTTCACTGATATAACTAAGCTGCTTGGATCCTATGAACAGTTGGGTTTGCAACGTCTTCTCTAGGCGGCCGTATTTTGAGCCTATTTCATCCCCAAGGGCAAGACACCTAAAAGATGTACAGCCAATGAGTTCAGCAACCTGGGCCCTGCGACCTGGCACCAAGAGTAGAGCTACCCAGTCAGGACCCTTCTCCCAGGAGCGTGACAGAGTTCTCAAAGGTGATGAGTCAGTCAGCACAAAGGCACAAACTGAGAAGGTGCCAGATGGAGTGGGGAAAGTGGCCAGTTGAAGACATGTGTGTGATAATGCCACAAGGAAGTAGCAACTATGATACGAAAAGGAAGAAGACTGGCAGGAGAAAATGTGTAGCAAATAGAATGGAGACACCAGAGAGAGAGAAAACACACAGCCCATGAAAGGTGCACAGGTGGGAGGGACGGCCTTGACCATCTTCCGGTCCCACAGAGGCCAGATTCCAGTGAAACTCCTGCCCTGGGATCCCTATGAGATCTCAGATTTCCTTCTCTCTCATGTGAACTCTTACCAAAAGTTCCCATATGCTTCTGCTAGCTTGAGTACGGGCTATACTCTTTTTCTTTTTTTTTTTTTTTTATTGTGGTACGCAGACCTCTCCCTGCTGTGGCCTCTCCCGTTGCGGAGCACAGGCTCCGGACGCGCAGGCTCAGCGGCCATGGCTCACAGGCCAAGCCGCTCCGTGGCATGTGGGATCTCCCCGGACGGGGACACAAACTCGTGTCCCCTGCATCGGCAGGCAGACTCTCAACCGCTGCGCCACCAGGGAAGCCCGGGGGCTATACTCTTTTTAATCTAAATGAACCGAAACAGCACAGAAAATGTGAATATGGACCCATCTGGGCAAAGCAAACGTTCTTATTCAAAGTAAGAATTCTCTCCTCCTAAACTATGCTCACTTATTAATCCTTTGCTTATACCATGAGATAACATCTAAGAGGAGAAAGGCTTTATTACTACTTTATGAAAGTACAACATTAATTTCTGCCAGTAAAATTCAGGGATAAGCTGGTTAAACTACATCTTAACATTTACAATTTCCATTCTACTCTCTGCATTCAGGTCAAGTACCAAAATGTTTAGTTAAATATTTACTTGCTAGATGTATTACTCTCATCATTAAATTGTAGACCAAGCCATGGATGGGTTGATAGCACTGTGATTTAAATGATAATCTCTTGTCTCTTTAACTACCCTGTGATGGTGTTTTTAAATGACTAATAAAAAACAGCCCACAGAGCCAAGTGACTAGAGCGTTAGATGCAATCACTTCAGCCAGCCTTTTAAGCTATCGAGTTTTGTATTTCTCACTATAAATTTAGTAATGCACTGTGAACAGCAGAGAGCAAAACAAAACAATAGAGAAAACCCTGCTTTTAAGACTATATATAGGGCAGCAAATATTTATTTGCTCAGCAAACATTTACCAAATGCTTTCTGTGTCTGGTACTGGAAGAAACTGGGATGAACATAGTAAGGTCTGTGGCATCCCCTGGAGCCGGTGTCAGTTTAGAAGAAAAGGGAGCCCTAGGTGTCTCTGTGTGCCAGAAAGGAGACACATCACCTAAAAACAGAGTGCTGAGTATCACAGCCCCGGGGCACCAAAGTACTATGGGAACACAGTGGAGAGAACCAGTTATTCTGCCTGCAGGAGGGAGGAAAGCATCAAAGAAGAGGAGATACTTAACTTGATTCTTTAAGGATAAGCAGAGGTTCACTGGAGAAGAGAGACATGAGTAGAACAGAGGGCAAGGCGATCCAGGCAGAGGGGACAGAGCGTGAAAAGGCACCAAAATTTCTCAAGACCGTGGCACAGTCAGGGTGAGGGCGAGGTCACTGGAGGCTGTGGTGAGAGCACTGACATTGTAATAAACAATGGTAGCAGCGATAAGGACTACAGCCAGTACATGCCAGGCACTTCTCTATGTGCTTTATGTGAATCAACACATTTAATCTACACCACAAGTAGTCAATAACAATAACTCAGCACATGTTATTTTTATCCCATCAACAGATGAGGAACTGAGGCAGACTTCTCGGAGCCCGCCCAAGGTTGCTCAGCTGTTAGGTGGGGCAGTGGGGTTCAACCCTAGGTGGTCTGGCTCTAAGGGGGTGCTCCTGGCCGGTATACTGCACTGCTTCTCCTCAGGCTACACTAAGGGGGTTGGAAAAAATTCTGTAGACACATGGGGTGGCTTTTAAAGAGTCAAGTTCAAAAAGTAAAAAGTTCTGGAGGCAGGTGAAGGACAGATGGTAAGGGCGGAGACCCAAGGCACGAAGAGTAATTAGGAGGTTAAAGTAATTTAATCTAAGGCCCTGAGTTCCACTGTATTAAATGAGTAACTTCAACCCAGTAAGAACAAAACCAAAGTACAAATCCATTCCTAAGACCTGGGCCAGATGCTGGCACTCAGTGAGGTACTGGCCAAGTACCATTCTTGTGGTGACAACCCTGGCAAACTAGGGAACAAAGGGTAGCTGTGGATGACAATCTGAGAGCCAGGAGAGATGTGGGCCTTGACACCGTTAGTTGTGGGCAAATGCCCGTTGGGAGGGGAGGGGCCCTGACATGCAGGACAAGGAAAGTCAGAGAGGTGGGAATTTCAATAAACCTCCCGGTTCCTTGACCTCAGAGGGAGGAAGGGT